GGGGGAGGAAAATGGCCCACTTTGTTCTATATCCAGTGATCCCAAACTCAACACAGCCACAGCTGCTACCACAGTGAAGTCTAATAACCAGCACCAGAGTCATGTAAATAAGTTCCCCTTTCTTTTTCTTTAAATTAGCCAATCACAGCCCTTGGGAGAGCTAAGATATATTGCCTGGGGACTTTAACAAAGGCAGAGTCCATCAGGTCCTCTCTGAACTGTAAATATCTTTGTACTGGTGGCTAGTGTCATTAATTGCTTTTATTTTATATTTATCATGGAAGGTCTTTATTTCTCCTTTGATTTTAAAGGATTACTTAGCTGGATATAGTATTCTTGGTTGTCAGTTTGTTTCAGGGAGTTGAAATACATTAGTCCATGCTGTCTTGGCCTTTAGGGTTTTTGCTGAGTGGGATTCTGTTATTCTGATAAGTTTTGCCTTTGTAAGGAGCTTGGTACTTCTCTTTTCAGCTTTTAGTATTCTTACTGTGTTCTATACTCTTGAAATTTTAACTATAATATGTGGAGAGATTCTTTTCTGGTCATGTCTTCTTGGGGTTCTAAATACCTCCTGTTCTTGGATGTCCTTTCTTTTCCTAGATTTGCTGAATTTTGCCCATGATTTCATTGAATAGGCTTTTTATGCCCTTAGACTGTATCTTGGTTCCTGTTCACACAGATTGGTAGATTTAGTCTTTTAGTTGTGTCTCAGTTGTAATTTTTTTCCCCTTGTTGTGCTATCTGAATGTAATAGGTCCACATCCTTGTCTTCAATCCCTGATATTCTTTTTTCTGCCTAATTGACATGTTTTCCATTGAGTTTTTATGTGATTTGTTAAGCTTGTCATTTCCAAGATTTCTATTTCTTTTTTCTCCCCAAAGAATTTATCATTCAAGTTGCTGAATTTCTCATGCAAGTCCTGTTCTTTCTTTATTTGCTTTTTGAACCCTCCTTAAGGTCATTGATTACATTTAAAACTATACTTTTGAATTCTTTGGCATTTCAACCATTTCAATATCTTTGTATGAATTATTGAAGAGTTATGAAGTTTTTGGAGGAGTTTTCATAGTTTCTTGTTCTATGTTGCAAATCATACATCTGTTTGGGATGGATATGTCTTCCAGTTTTATGTGGAGGTCTTCTTAGTGATCAGTCCTCTTTGAGATCTCAATACTAGTACCACTCAGAGAAAAAAAAACTGTCAGAGCAACAGCACCAAAACACACCACATATAGAAATGCAAAGAAAAATCAATGAAGAATATTATGATACACAAAAAAAAACAAAAGAAAATGAGCAAAAATAGTTGTAATAAAAGAATGAAATAAAAGATGCAGAGAAAGGAAAAAAGAAAAAGCAAGTTTAAATAAATGTAAAAAAGGGATGAAGAGAAAAGGGAAAGAATGTGAGAAAGAGGAACAGAAAATAGAGGAAAAACTGATACAAAATTTAAAAATGTAAATAAAATTAAAGGTAAAAAGACATAAACAAAAAAATTAAAAGTTAAACAATACATACACTAGAATGAAACAAAACAAAAGAACCTGAAAGTCAAAGTTTTGGAGATGCTTCTTTCCAGGTCCTTTATCAAGGAATTGAAATTCACCAGGTCTGGCATCAGGAGGTGGGTCCTGTCTTTATTCTATTGTAGCTCTTCTGTTTTTTCCACTGTACATGTTGGTGATGTATCCAAATTGATGACAGGTTGGTAAAGATATGTTATCAGCATTAGGGTTATATTCAATTCAGTAGCTTATTTTTATTTGTCTACTGAGAGACTCTCTGCTTGCCCCAAAATGTTTTGAGGCCCAGGCCATACGGGTTCCTTTTTGTTCCAGAAGACCCCCATTTTGTACATCCAGTGACAACAAATGTTAAAGCAGAGGGGAATTCTCCTTCAGTGTGTTGGAGAGTGGGGAAAGCAAATAAGAATATTGACTTCTGTACTGGTGGAAGAATACCAAGGGAACTTGGCAATCTACCTGCTGTTTCTCAGAACTTCAAATCCTATGGAGCAGTAAACTACCTTGTGGTTGAAAAGAAGGTGATGAAAGGAAGGTGGTGGACCAGGGCTCAGAGCTGTCAGTCTCTCCTAAGCAGTCAACTATACTCAGCATTGTGGCAGCCTGGTCTGGATGTTCACAGTTTCAGTTGTAACCCACAACAGAGGGCAAAGGCCACTGACCACTTGAGCCCTCCACAACTCAAGCTCCCAACTGTAGCTTTTTTATTGGGTTTGTATCAGACCCTTCCTCTCCACAACTGCCTGTCATGATGGCTGCCTTTCACACAAATACTATGTTAGGGTGTTCTGAGGCTCCCTGACTTGTGATTGTGTTTTTTAGGTCCTTAGAGTCATAGTCTCAAACAGTAGGTTCCCCTGTCAAGATGGCACCTAACTACAGTTCTTTAAGATACAGGAAGCAATGCAGTAGATTTTTTTCTCCCATGCTAGCATACCATACAAGAGGAGTTAATGCTACATCAAATCTAGATTTAAGTTTTCTATAAGAACTGGGTTGTTTTGTTTTTTGGGGGTTTTTTTTTTTTTTTTTTTGCTGTGTTTAGAACTGTGATCTGCTGTCATCAGGACTGCTTAGGTTACTTGTGGTTGGGCCTTTTGGTCATGTCCCTACTCCTTCACCCATCACAACCAACCATGGTTGGAATTTCAGACTTTTCTACTTTGCTCTGCCTGTTTTTTCATTTTTTTGTTTGTTTTGTTTTGAAGCTATCCTCTCTTCTTGATTCCTCATGTTCTAAATCTCTTTCTTTCCTTAGAATATAGTCTCTCCTTTGTTAGCCTGGAGCCTGGCTCCTCTCATTCAAGGAATCCCACGCAGAAACTTCTAATTTGCCATTGCACCCTGATACCTTTCTTTTTAGATTTCTGTCATTAAAAAAAAATCTTTAATATTTCCCTTTCAGTCTCCTTTTTTTCCCATTCTCTACCGATTTTCACCATGTGTTCATGAATTTTTTCTACTTGAAGTCTTTACTGTATTAATCATAGTAATTAAATTTTTTTGATCATTAGTTCCAATGTCTGTGTTAAGGTGAGACTGGTTCTGTTGATTGCGTTGTCATTTGTGGGTTATTTTTTCTTGTTTATTGTGTAGCTCATAATTACTTTGACTGTCAGACAACATAGATAATGAGAGACTGAGGTAAATGATATTTATGTCTGGAAATGTTCTTATTTTATACTTTTCTTTTTAGTCTATTTGGTTGCTTCACATTCTTTCAGTTGTATTGTGCTTAGAGTGGAGCCTGTGTTTGGGATCTCCATGCTGATGTTTGACCTTTCTTCTTGGCATCTCAGAAACTTCTCTTTCTATCCTCTTGGGTGTTTTTCTTTTTGGAGACTACTGTTACTTATTTCTTGGTGCTTGCAAGCTTGATGGGAAGGAGAGGGAAGGAAAGGTGGCTTGGGTAAGCTTGACAGTTCTTCTGGTCCGTTTTCATGCCTAGTCAGGCCTGTTTCAGTCTCAGAAATGGGGGATTTTTGGTGATCCAGTCCCTTCTTCCCATGTCATCTGAATGATGATAAGTTTGGTGGCTCCTGTGTGTTCTTGTGTTCTACCCTGTCCAAAGAAGGGATCTCTCATAGTATGGTTGCAGCAGGATTACCTGTCTTCTCCCAGATATAGAGAGTTTGCTTTTATACTTGTTCCTAGGATTTTATATCTTCACCTGAGTGTTGAGGTCACCAGGGTTTACTGACCTAGTGTCTTAAGGCTTTTACTCTGAGAAGTAGATAATCCTGGTGGTGCTTTGGGCCTTTCTTGTAGTGGAGGTTTCTTCTCTTTTCCAGGACTATGCCAAGGAAAATGCTCTAGCTTTCTACTCTGCTCCAGTCTTTCTCATGAGCTCTCAGCAGAAACCCATGAAGTACCTGCAGTTTAATGCGTATTACTCTTGTGTTTGTGATTCCCAGGGATTCTGTAAATCACATCAGTCCACAGTCAGCCTTTATCATTTAGCTAAAATAGTCTGCCTAGATTGTATGATAATTGGCATCTCTTATCTCCTGAGTACCACAAGTGAGCTAGTGCTTATCTTCTGTCTGTTCTTGAAGGTACCTGTTTTTGCCTTAGATATTAGAGTACTTTGTTGTTCTGTGGTCTCATCTTTCTATTGGTTTTAAGAAAAATTATAATAGTTATCTGATTATTTCTTGTTGTTAGGGTTTGGAAGACCTTCTCTCCAGCTTTGTGCATCATTGGCAGAAGCAGAACTGTAGATTTCTTTTTAGTCCCATCTTGTACCTCAGCCTTAGGAAATCCCTCATACTTTTGGTTCTTAGGATTTATTGGTTCTGTGGTTGGAATTGATTTGCTTGTTGGTGGTTCTTCAGCTCTCTCTTCTAGCTTTTAGAATTTAGGAGAGCCAAGAAAACTTTAAATTAAATTCGTGCTTTGCCAATGTTCCAAACTTTTAAAAAGTTTTTAAATGTCCTATTAGCTCCTCCATTTTTAACTGGTACTGCAGGGATTAAAATTTTAAGCCCTGTAGATAGTTCCTGGTTGGCAATTAAAGAAGCAGGAAGTATAGAAATAGGAGGGAGACCCCTTTGAAGACTCTGGAACGCTATTTACATGCCTCTTAAATCAAGAGAAGTGAAAGTCGATTTGAGTAAGTTGTACATGTAGTATTTTTTCCAACTTTAAAAGTGAGTGGAAAAGTACTTTTATATGATGACTTGTTACAAAAGTGTAAATGCCAAATGAAAATGAATATTCGATATTTTCTCTTCTGTTTTCCATAAAAAAACAGCTGAGGTAGAATTATGAATTCTATGAAAAGGGAGTACACTTTACAGTGTAGTTTCTAGTAAAGCAGTTTAGAATCATTGCCTCATTTGTATTGACTTGAATACTTGGAAGATTTTCCAGATAATATGTGTATATTTAATTATTTTTTGGCTCTGTTTTTTTTTGTCCTGAATGCACATTACTTCAAAAATGGATTTGTAACAACTGGAATTTCTCTCCTTCAGGCTGTTTATATCACTGGAAAAGAAGTTTTCAGCTTCAAAATAGTTTCTACATGGGTGCAACTGCTGGCATTGCATATACAGATATGAATGTGGTTGACATTCAAGTTAATTTAACTGTTGGATGCATTGAGGTAGTGTTTGTCACAAAATTTATATATTCTATATTGGTAAGTATTTCAATGATTTATTCTTTTATACTAGTTAGAAATTGTTGTATCAAGCACAGATGAAGAACAAAAAATCGCTCACCTTATTTATTTTTTTGATTTTTTAATTTTCTGAGTACCATATATAACAACAGAACTGTTCAATACCTTTTATATAAATTTTTTATAAATGTTAAAACATTTCACATGGGAATATTCTACTTAATCTATATATTTTATATACTAACATATTAATAATATATCCATGTAATACATTGCTTATTTTATATATTATATAGATAGAGAGCGCACGCATACATTAATTGAAGTCCTTATTTTACACATCATTAGCTTAAATCCTTGCATTTCTTAGCTTCTGACTAAACTGACTTCTAAATACTGAACATGTAATTGAAGTTTGTTTCAGTCTCAAATCATCTGTAGGAAAATTATATTTTGAGTACATTATTAAAAATGTTATCAATCAGAGGCTTTAATGAATTAGATCTAATCTCTGACTGACTCTACCCTAGGCCTTTGAATTCTAAATTCTGCTTTACAATTTTTTTTTCTGTTTTATCCTTGTTGCCGTGTATTACTTTTTCTTTGTGACTGTCATACTTATCTCTGTGACATCACTATTCTTTTTATTGTTTTGTTTTTTTGTTCTATTGCAAGGCTGGTGATCTAATCCATGTCCTTGCATATTGCTAGGCAAGTGTTCTATCACTGTGCTATACCCTCAGTCTACTATTCTTTTGAAACACTATCTAAGTTTTGGTGTACCAACTAGATATCAAATCCAAGGATGTTGTTGAACATATAGGCCTAGTATAGCAATACTCATAAGCAAGGAGGGAATTTATTATGCACTGGATATATTTGGAGATGTGGAGCCCATTTCTGTTATTTGAGAATTTTGACTTGATTCTAACTTCTGTGATTTTTTTCTTTCGGCACTGGCATTTGAACTTAGGACCTATGCCTTGAACCACTCCACCAGCCCTTTTTTTGTGATGGGTTTTTTGAGATAGGGTCTCATGAACAATTTGCCTGAGGCTGGCTTTGAACCATGATCCTCCCAATCTGTACCTCTGAGTAGCTAGAGTGACAGGTGTAAGCCACCCTCTCTCGGTGATCTTTTAAATGGAGATTATCATGAAGTTTTCTATAGCTATAGAGTTTTTTGTACACAAAAAAGATTTACAAGTATTCTTTGTCTAATCTATTTTTATTATTGAAAACATAATTTCAGAACAGCTCTCTTTATCTTATACTTTAAATGAATGTTTTTGTTTTTCATCTGAACATGAAAGTTAAGTTTAAATCTAGGTAGTTTTTTTTAATAACCATATCAATGATGAAGTGCTTTTTCTAGAATTTGAAAATTAGAACTTATTTGAGAATTTTAAACATACTTTATAGATTTTAACTCTTACAAAAATAAGCTGTCCATTGAGCTTGTATAGGGAAATTTGTTTATTTAGATATTAGGGGGGAGTACAATAATAAAGGAAATAGATATCAGTAAAACTTCCACTATCCTTATTTTGCTTTGTTTGAGGGACTAGATTTTATGTTTTATCAGTACCTTTTGGTGTTTTTTTCCTCAATTTTTACAGCAGGAAAATTAGGTTTAATATGGACAGTGAGACTTTGAATAAATGTTTGATTATACAAAGTAAAAGTTGTTTTTATAGAGGCAAAGTTACAAATCAGTATATATTTAGTAAGTCTTCTCAAGATAATGTTAAGATTAAAATTCTGTTATCCTTGTAGGCTTTTATATGACAATTTTCAAGCAGCTAAAAAAGCCTTGGCTGAAGCAACTGTTCAGGCAGCAGAAATGGCTGCTACTGGTGTAAAGGAACTGGCACAAAGAGTTCCAGATTGGCATTGGATGTTAACATCAATGCTCCAGTTGTGGTCATTCCACAGTCTGCAGTTTTCTGAGAATGTGTTTGTTGCTGATTTTGGACTGATTACAATGAAAATATGTTCCCATGGTAACAGAGAGCCAGAGCAATCCACCACCTGTGATTGACTTGATAACAATAAAAGCTGAGTGAAATGAGACTATACAGGTAAGCTTTTCACAAGTAGGTTGCAAGTAAGATGCAGTCTTCTTATTAATTTTTACACGAAGTCTTTGGTATCTTGTGTATTCTCTTTACAGTGTGGATTTTATTTTCTTATGACTGCTTGATTTTGTGACTCTCTCACAAGGATTTTCTAGCAACATCAATTAAGTTTTACTCTTTAAAAACTAGAAATATATGAAACTGTTCCTTGTGTAATCAGAAAAACTGCCAAATTATCTGAGATAGTATATTTGTGGGGTTTTTTGAAGTTAATAAGTTGTAAGGCACCATATCACTCAAACTATTCTGTCAGCTTTGAGTATTTTGAAGCAACTTCATTGAGAAATAAATTGACCTGTAATAAATTTGTACCTAATAGTTGTTCACATGCTCCCTTCTTAGTCATTAAGACTAGCTATGTGTCATGTCCTCTTCCTAACGTTTTAATTTATGACTTCTAACTGGTCAGTCTGGTTAGGAGCTCATCAATTTTATTGGTCTTAAGGAACCAGTTTTTGATTTTATTGTTTTCTCTGTTTTTCTGATTTCTCTTTCACTGATTTAACTTAACATTACTTCATTCTGTTTACTTTAGGTTCAGTTTTGCTCTTTTTCAAAGTTTCTTTAGAAAGTTTATTGATTTGAAATACTCTTTTGTTCTTTCTTTATTTTATTTATTTTTTTTCTTTCAGTGGTGGTACTGGAGTTTGAACTCAGGGCCTCACTTGCTAGCAGGCACTCTACCACTTGAGTCATTCCACCAGTCCTATTTTTTATTATTGTACTGGGGGTACATTGTGACATTTACAAGAGTTCTGATAATATTTTATTAGTTGAATTCACCCTATCATTCTTTTTCATCCCCTCCCCACCCCCATTCCTGGAGTAGTTTCAACAGGTCTCATTTTTCCATTAACATACATGAGTACGTAGTATTTCTACCCACATTCACCCTCCTACACCCTTTCTTTATTTGCTCACCTCCCATGGTACCAACCCAGACAGGACCTCTTTTGCCTTCCTGTGTAAACATATGCTCTATCTTCTCTCTATAGTTCTCTTTTGCTGGCATTTATCATATAAAGTCTCACTGTACCTTTTATGCTATAAACATCATTTTATAACCCCTGGATATTGAGTATTAAATCAGAAGAATTTTTCAAGGAAGTAATCTTTTCACCCAGCAAGTGAAGTTCTGAAATTTATCTAGAGAATGATACTTAATAAGAGATACTATGAGGATCCAAACATTAATCACAGTAAAGAATAGGAAGCAAAATTTTTAATATAGAAGACTGAATTAAATCACTTATGGTAAAGTCATGTATATATGCATAGCCTTTAATGTTGTACATACAGCATTCCCTGTATGGTTTTTAGATTTCTCAATTGACTCCATTACGTGGATTGCAAATAGATGTATATTTAATATAGTGTTATTCCAATATAGTTCTTCAAGAAGCAGGTTGATGCCTGGACAGGTTGAGCCCTGTGATACCATATTTCTCTCCCACTGAAGTAATGATAGCTAAAATTATATCATGTTTTGCACCTTGTTTAAGTTTGCTTGCCAGTTAAAATATTAAGTATTTTGAGGGTAACATTTGAGGAACAGCAGAAAGTTTGTATGGTCAATTGTCCTTGAAGAGGTCAGGTAACTTACTTCTCTTATCCTATTCCTGAGTATCAGTCCTGCTTTTTATGTGTTTGGAGAGGCAAATATGGTTTAACTAATCAAATTGTACACTTTCATCTATTTTGACCCACAGAAATGAAAATTTTGTGGTGCACTTCTTTCTTAAATATAAGGGGATATATGGTTTTTGCTACTTATCTATCAGTGGAATAAAATGTTTTTGTAATGATGTCTTATATCATGTTTGTTTACTGGTAATGTAGAGAATTCTTATTTTAAGGATTTTCTATACTACTTGTATATTTTTGCAGATTTTCTGTATCATAAAATCTGTTTTAAGAATTTATTTGTTGGGCTGGAGGTGTGGTTCACGTGGTAGGCACCTGGAAAAAAAAAAGAGAGAATTTGTGTATGGAAATTTCAGCTTCTAGAATATCACTTAGGTTTCTAGTGGGTCGTACATCTCTCATTTTGATATGGGAAAAAAAATTAATATAATATTTTTCTCTTCACACAAAAATTACTGATTTCTAGTATTTTAATAAATGGTAAGTAGTAAACGTTTATTTTTTTCCTATCTGAATGTATATGAAAATTAAAAATAGTTTTATTTCTACTGATAGATCTCATTTATTAATGATACATACCAGGAAGTCTAGATCTACTACTGCCTTTGAACCTTGAAGTACTTGTTGAGAGAAATTTATCCTGGGACTGGTACCAGGAAGTTCCTTGTTTTAATGTAAATGCGCAGCTAAAACCCATGGAGGTAACTTGATGATTTCTGTTTCGTTTGCTGAAAAG